ATATATATATATATATATATATCTGTTAATCTATATGATAATTCAATGACATGTACATATATATATATATTTATATATATGCATATATGTACGTAATCATAAAATGAATATTTATGTTTGACTCCAATATATATCTGGCAGCCGAGAATGCAGTTGACGAGCAAGCAAAGAATACGAAAGGGTGAGCAGCAGCGTCCTTATCTGTACAGATAGCATTGTATACAATAGTAGAAATTGAACCTGCTGAGGAATTATAAAATCGTCTCTGGAATTTAATAATTGTCAATAGATCCCTTCCTGTAGGCGGATCTTCACCTCCATAAACGTTAATCAAAATAAGAGTCATATCCTAATTATAGTCATCGCTCCTCGTCCTACCAATAGCCTAGCCCACTTCATAAAAAGATGAATCCGAACTTCCTAGCCACAGCCTACATACCGAAGGCGCTCCAAATGTAGGCAAACTACAGTACATATATGTACCTACATCTATATCTATAAATATTGTATATTTATATAATACATGATATATATATATATATATATATATATTCTTGTGTGTATATGTAGGTGTGAAAGTTTAGTTGGAAGCGGACGAGCCTTTGAAGGTCGGACAATTGTTTCATGACCCAAATTATTCATACTATATGAAGATCATACCGCCATTGTGTTTTCTCACTTAATACCTCTATGCACAGACGAGTTTATATGCTAGTCGAACGCAATGGTTCTATATGGACTTCGTTGTTGCTGTCAAAATTCCAGTGTTTTAGCAGACCCTTGCCGTACACGTAGGCAGCGTAAAGTGTTAAGGTTCAGACTACGCCCTTTTATACCAGCTACGATATCCTTCATCACTCACACGATGCTACCTGAAGACGATATCTTTCCATCGTGCCTGGCACTAGTAGTTTCGTGCAATCAAAATAGCAGTCTTTTCAAAGACAACGAAAGTGTCAAAACAGAAACAGATCGTGTTTATAACGTTGCCCTAAAACTAATATAATTGCACTCCGATATCACCAAACAACTAGCATACAACACAACCAGAAATTAATCTGTGATACACAGTGGTCAAGATAACATACGACAAAGTTCCACAAATTACCTGCGGGTACATATTGCCTGCAATTTTACATTCATGTATGCTGTAATAAAATCTTCAATGTTATACGATATTCGATCATACTCAATTACCAGGGATGTAGTAGTTAACCACGTTGTAAATAACCTGGAACACCAATACTTGGTTCACTAATCATACTAGAAAACTCACTAAAGAATAACAATCTACATCCGCTGAACAGATATATAACCGATTAGACTCAGATATCGACTAACAATAACCCATGCCAAATTCAACAGTACGTTTATTAAGATACACAATTGGCGTTGAGCACACCCTTCGTTTGTGTCAAACTATATATACATATACATATATATATAAATATATATACCCTTCGTTTGTGTCAAACTATTTTAATATATATATATATATATGTATACTTTCTCACTTAACATAGGCAAACAACTGAATCTAGCATATATAAAAACAGTGGCAGATGCGAAATTGAACGATACATTTACTACGATAATCAATTGCAATACACTAGTACTCAGTATGAATTTCATGCTTCATTTATACCCAGTTATCTATACATACATGCATTCTAAAACATACTTTGTACAGAGAACGAGCAAGTAAAAAAGTATACTAGTTATGGTAGTTTATAAATCCATTTATGCCTCAGAGATAGAAGTCTTGCGCTTCTTGTGCAGTTCCTTACGGGCGTGCACAGCCTCGGCGTGGCGCTTAGCGACAAGCTCCTTGTACTCGGCAACATCCTTGGAACTCTGTGAATACAAGGCAAGTAGGCGTATATAAGAGTCTGCAATGTACAAACTATGATACTCCAAAATAGAATGAAGTACTTTTTAAACAGGTTCGAAGATCAGACAAACAATTCATATCATGATTAATTGCGTCAAAGAGTAGGAGGTTGTATAAGGTCTTCATATCCGAACTAGCGTGAGCACCATATATCAATTAGCTAAAACATGTATATCAACGTATACAACTCGTGATGATGACAGAAAGGTGTGCAATTCAATTTCAAATGGTGCATGAATATCATACAATATGCAGAGACTTCCTCTCCATATATCATCAACGAAATCCCCATCAATATCATACTACGATCGAAATCCGGACACTGACGCATATATCGAGAGTAGGTTATGCCACTACATGTGCACAACACCTCCAAGCACGTGAATACATCCCAATCCACTCGTGATTCAGGCCAGATAAACAACATTTACGTACCTGTTGAAGCTTGTTCTTGCGAGAGTTAACGATGTGACGCTTGCGCTGCACGGTCTGGGGGGTGACCAGACGCTGGATCTTGGGGGCTTTAGTTTGCACCTTGCCGTTCTTCTCGGGAAGTTCACGACGTACCACATACTTGCGCACATCATCGTCCTTGGTCAAGTTAAACAGCTTGCGGATCTTCTGGGCACGCTTGGGACCCAGACGACGGGGGTGCACAACATCCGTAAGGCCGGGGATCTCGCCCTCGCCCATCTTTACTACTACGAGGTTGACAACCGTCATGTTGGAGTCCACAATGCATCCACGAATGGATTTGCGCTTGCGGCAACCTTTGCGACGCTCACGGAAGCAAGGTTGACCCTTGCCGACGAGAAGGCGTACACGCTGGTTGGTAAGCACACCTACAGGTAACATGCATAGATGATAAATTACGTAGTCAGTATCCCAATCAGAAACTCTCACAGTATGCCCATGCGAATCTATTGTTCTGCACAGTACCATCACAATGGTTCGTTCAACTACAATTTATACTAGATATCTGTATGTGCACTGAACTAATCATACTAACGGAATATTTTATATGTACCGACACTTACTATCAAACTCCGTACATGTTTACTGATTAACGGTGTTAGCGAAAATGCGGCCTATTTCTCTACCGGAAGCTCTGATCCAAGGTCAGTGACATCTCACTTGGATTAATTTGTTCCCGGATACGTCCGACTATTAGAAAAGCCATACCAACTATAGTTTCAATAGTAGCGTACAATACCTATACAATCGCTTTTATGACTACTGTAGAAGCATCTTGTGTATTTGAACACCCGCCTATGACTATGTATTTTAACCACTCCTGCTATACACTAATACACGACACTGCATTCTGCAACGAGAGCACCATATATCCCCACCCATCGTCTTACTTAAGCATACCAACATGTATTCACGCCCTGTTACAAACATAGTTTTATACGGCCAAATATCGGCACGAACGGACGATTGGTTCGATACTTGCGCATTCAAAGTGTTCAGTTTGATCAAAGCCACATACCCTGCATCATGGGGAAACCCTGCTTGTCGTTTCCACCAGAGATACGGAAAACGTATCCCTTGAACTCATCTCCGAAGGAGTCACCCTCTACCTCCTGGGAGATACGCTTGTCGTATAGGACACGAGCCTTAAGCTCGTCATCAAGCTCAACTAGCTTTTGCGCTCCCGTCGCGGGATTGGCAATGTTCAACTACATATTGATTGGATATAATAGAAAATAATAACTGTATGTAAGTGGAATGGATAACAACATGAAGAAAAATTTACTTACTATGATCTTGTGCATGCTTGATATCTCTATGTTTAGTCTGTGTAGTAGTTCTAACATGGCAGATTTGACATTTGACTAAAAACTGAGTCACCATCTCGTTCGCCGTCCGTTACTGTGGCTGCTGGATCTTTCTGTGTCTTGCTGAATATCGTGCTTGTTTTTCATTAAACCTTTCAAACTATATGAATTTGGTTCTTTTCCTGCCGGATATATTTTTCTACATATGTATGCCTATTGCTTTGATGTATGCATGCATCTGTTGTCGTCGTATTTTTCCGATCCTTTCCTTTGTGCGTGTAGTTGGCTATGCTGTTTAACATCGTGTATTGCACCCAGATGTCAACACAACATCTTCACGTATTGGCATACAGTCACACAGAGCTCTTACTAACCTTCATAATGGAATATGCACAAAGGAAAAGGAAGGTTGCGCTTTCCTAGACTTACAATAATATACACCTGTTCATAATACGGATATGTTCCATGTATATTTAGTAGGTATTGCGGCTGGTATGAACATGGGTACCTGCTACTGCACGTGGGGACATTTTGGGCCACAGTGCTTGATTTCCACCTAATAGTTTCAAACATCATCTTTTAAATTATTTTCATACCTTATTTCGGTCTTTATTTCAAACTTTATTCAGCTCAGATATTATGAAACCAGCTGATTTGAGACATAATTTTTACTATTTTACGACAATTGAATATAAATTGCATCATGCCTTCTAGTCTGTATAGTTGGTTACAAGATCAAATTGATTTGCCATTGTCTTCGTGCCTTGAGCCAATTTCATATTTTAGGGCCATATTTGTCCCCTTGTGAGCGTGTGCACAAGTTATTTGTATTCGAAATCTTATCACCGCCAAAATGTGTGGCTGTATGTGAATTAAAAGGTACACGCAACTGTAGTGAACTGTCCTTTTCCAGTCATCCCTTGAAACTGTAATCTTTAGCCATGGTACGTAAGCTACAACAGACAACTAAACATAGTCTACATACCGCGTTTAAGCGATTACTACGATGACCGATTATATTTCTTTCCTTGTTTGCACTGCAGGCTCTATGATATAGTTTCCAGTAAAGAGTACTTTGAACTCGAAAGCTAATACTGAATGCATATTTGTATTCCAAATAATAGGGTCGCGTACGCACGAAAACTGTCAAGAGAGCAGCTCGCTCCATCATCGAGAAGTACTACACTCTTTTGACCTTGGATTTCCACACCAACAAGTCTATCGCTGAGGTAAGTCAGAGCGGCTTGCACACAAACAATAACAGGCATAACTTGCATACAAGTTAGTATTAGTTTGGAGTGCATTTATTAAGAGATAGATGTATGAGTGCTTGTAGTTGTGTTGTATATGATGTTACTATTGTGTTGTCGTTGTAGGTCGATTACCCTGGCACTTTGCGGCCATGCGAACAGAAAACACGGTGACGGATGTTTTGACATGGTTGGTTTAGGATCACTTGACTTTTGTGAGCATAGTTTTATTCATAGCGCTTTCAATTCTTGTTTCCGTTTGAATATGGACGGATAATCTTTCCATGTCAAATAGAGAAAGAAAATGCGTTTCGATAAGACTTGTTTGCCTGAAGCTTGAGTGTTCGATATCTCCCCGTTGATTCTACCCGACACCAAAGTTTGTGGTAATCTGACAATCCGTCTCATCCGATCTGCATCAATTACTATCCCTATGTTTTGCGTGTGTGCCACTTGTATCTGTGTTGTATGTATATATGGGAATATATACACGCAAACGCACTACATGGCGTATCGTAGGAGGTTGCATCTATCCCCAGTAAGCGTCTGCGCAACAAAATCGCTGGATATGTCACCCACTTGATGAAGCGTATCCAGAAGGGTCCCGTTCGTGGTATCTCTATCAAGCTTCAAGAGGAGGAGCGTGAGCGTCGTGATCAATACGTGCCCGAGATCTCAGCTCTTGAGCCTGTTGATGGAAGCATTGAGGTTGATGCTGAGACACAGGCCATGTTGAAGGACATGAAGTACGGTGGTATGGTCAATGTTGTTCAAATTCACCCCGGATTCAACCAGTAAATCAACATTGTCTGACAGTTGTCACGCTGAAGGGTGTCCCATGTTGGCGTGAAAAAAAAATAAAGCTAGTTAAAGATTCTGGTATTCTGTACCCGAGATTCAATAACGGTTATGTTTACATGCATGAAGCACGCGACTGTTTGCATAGTCTTGCACGAATATCCGGAAGCAAATTACCCCAAGTGAGATGTCATTGACCTTGGACCAGCGCTTCCGGTAGAGAAATAGGCCGCATTTTCGCTAACACCGTTAATCAGTACACATGTACGGAGTTTGATAGTAGATGTCGGTACATCGAATTGACGTTTATTTTTAATTTGTTCTTACTAGTATCATGAGTGCACTGCGTTTTTGAGCACCGTCAAGTAATACTACAATGAATTTCATGGGGCTGTATGTGATGGGCATACGGCTTCTCTGTGCAAGTTAATTAGCGAGAATTTATTATTAAAACGTGTAAACCATACACAGTCTACGTATGCTCATATTCCGATGACTGATGTATTACTCCGGAGTTGTCGGTGTAATCTCGTCAATTAGTGACGGAGAATGCGCTAATTTGAATCCAGTCTTTAGTGTTTGTTTGGAGCGAGAATACTGTTGCGACCTGTGCTGTTTATGTTGTCGTCTCTGGATTTCAATGTATTAGCACATGGATTTTGTCTTGTTATTGTGTGCGCAAATGAGCGGCAATTCATTTGTGAATTTGCCACGGCCCGGACTTCATACTTTGAGCTATCTCATGAAATTTCCCTGACGCCTCTTCTTCCTCGATATGCGTCTGCAGTTGTACAATATGGCTTGTCAGTGTTACTGAGCGACAGCTTTCTGTGCATACCATCACAGTCTATGAGTATATAGTCTCGAACTTTAGGCGCTCTCAAAATGGTCAATTTGATTGACCCTGTTCTAATAGCAATACTTCGTTCAAATAATTGAGTACAGCTTAGCGCGTAAGATACATGGTTATGTTATCGCGTCAGATACATATTTATAGCTTCTCTATTTTTTTACTCTCTTTCTCTCCTCTACTATGTAAATAAGTACGTCTCTTCGAGCGAGACTGATGAGAGAGTGTTTGTGCGACTGTGTCAGACTATCAGTGTGTCAGGAGAGCTCTCTCTGTTTGTGAGAATAGATAACAACCAAATAGAAGGCTTGATGATATTTATTGTATTTTTGTTTTTTCTTTCACTTTTGTTTTTAAGTTTTTTTACACCCCTTCATTATATCGGGCCAATAATTTAGAAGCGTTCCAGATTTTCTTCAATCCCAATATTTTTTGGCACATTTCAAGATTTAGTATTTCCTAAATAAATGATCGCGAAGGCGCCAAGGTCATTTTAGTCCACAAGTAGAACACCTATACACGGAATCCTCCAAAACGCGATTATTGGGTCTAAACATGTATAGTACAAATATTGTCCAAACAATATCGTATATGCGTTCTTATGACCGTAATACAAGCTTCAGCTTCTAAAATCGAGGAAAGTGTGTTTACGTCATTTGATGTGCCATGTCATCCATTGCACGATGATTTACATTTCCTGAGCTCTCTATCAAAATTCACCCACAACCGATTAAAATAACCTTGTTATAGTTTAATTATTCATATTTTAAAATATTACACGTGAATGGTATTTTTTTATGTCAGTATAACAAAGCCATCTATATCACAATGATGGGTTCTGAACTAATAATACTTATATTTATTATGGGAACCCTTTTTAAAATAGAAGGTTCGAACCAAAGAGACTTGAAAACATTCAAACTGTTATTACGCGACCTAGAAATTCAAGATTTGGCATGGTCGAAAAGACAAATGTGCACAATCCTGTTCATATTTTTACATCAATACATATTTAAATTTTAACTGCATGAACCAATAGAACTATCAACTTGGCTCCTTCACAAAATTGTTTTGAAATACATTTTCCATAAAAAAACAATCTTGAAAAAATGGGATTATGTATATCCAAAACCGGATAAATATTTTGAATTAGGTTTGTGTGTAATATTCAGAAGAAGGCTGTTAAAAATAGTGAATAGGATTTTTATTGATTTTTTAAATAATGATTTCTCTTTATTGATTTTTAGACAATGATTTTTATAAAACCAATATAAAATTATTTTAAAAAAACAATGTCAATGTCAATGCTTTTCTTTTTTTTTAAATCCTTGTGACTGTTTTCAAAAGGGTCCCCAGCAAAGAAAGGATTCCGGCGGCCCGGCCGCCCCCCGCTGTTACCTTTGGTGGTAGAGTAACTTTAATAGTTAATATTTACATCCAATGAAATCACTCGATTCCGGGGGGGTTTTTTTCTCTCTGAAAACCAAAGTATTTATAAACCCTTCGTATTTTTTTTTCTTACTCTCAAACCCATTTTGGCCACTCTTTGAAAACCGTTTTCCTATTCTCTCGATTTCATTATATTTAAATATTAACCACATTTATCAAATTGTTGTACAGGTTTTGGTCTCTTTTGGTTTTAAATTAAACTCGTGCTAGAACCTCGTGTTTTGGCTCGGAATTCGTGTCAAATCTGTCGTTCACTCGTGACTCAACTTTTGGGGCGGGGTTTTGCAACTCGTTTTGAAACGCGGCACTTTTGCCAAAACCATATAAAAAAACTTGTTGAGTAACTGGTTTACTTCGATTTGAAACTCGTTCCTCACCAAAAAAAACTCGGTGCTAAAACTCATTCAATTTCCAATCTCGAACTTTTCAACAACAACAAAAAATGATATTAAACTGTACAATTTTACGTAGGTCTTTAACTCTTTATAGACTTTAGTCCTTGCTTTCCAGCAGAAATTTGATACGACTTGTATCAAGTACCAACTCTCTGATATTAAGTATGGGCCAATCAATGAATCAAATTCTTGATTCGTCTACTGCTAAACAAAAATATAAATTGGAAATGTTTTATTGGTCTATAAAAAGTTAATAACAGTCCAAGACACTAAGTATCTTTGGCATCATCGGAATTCTGATGTCGAGGACTCCGAGAGGATTCGAGGACACTCAGGGCTCAGGACAGACTTCAGCAGCTGATAATGCTGTTTTAGCGTTTTAGCAGGGGCGCCACGCCGCCGCGCCAGACCGGTAGAGGCAGGAGTCAGTATATATTTACTACTTACAGAATGCGGTATTAAATCCAAGCGAATTCCATTGTCTTTAATTCTGCATACAAGAAGAGATGAGAAGGGAGTTGTTCATTTATATGTGGTGTACAAATAAAGCTTATATTTACAACTATACACACAAAGTAGTGCGGGAAGTTGACCGTTGGTAGTTGTTTGCTTTTTAAGGCATAGCTAAACGTTGTGGTTGCGTCGAAAACTGTAGGGCAAAACACGCTGAACTCGGATATTCTTACGTCCAAAATACCATCATGCGGTGGCTTCGGTCCACAGCAGTATTGGTTGTCGTGCTATCGATTGTATGTATAACTACGACAGCACAGATCAATTATTACGAAGAAGGGTGTAGGCAAGGGGGTGAGGCAGACACGTGCACGTGTCCGGACGGTTTTTCGGGCACGAATTGTACTGTGGCTGACTGTAGCTATGGTTACGTTACTCCTGGCACACAATACGATTGTACCTGCCACGATGATTGGGAAGGTAAGTATATGCGTAATGATGGCAATATATAGAATTTGACATGGATTGCGACGCTAATGTATAAACAATATACGTAAACTCGCGTATAGCTATTAGAACTTTGAATCTGGTCAATTATCTCCGATGATAAAAATATCCCAAGCACCGTTTGTCTTGACGTCTCAAAAACTTATTTGCTGCGAACATGTATTAGAACATAAATAAATATCTAACAGCTTGTATATCGATGCGAACAAACGGAACATATATATACATATACATATATATATATATATATATATATATATATATATATATATATATATATATATATATATATATATATATCTATATATATATATATATATATATATATATATATATAT